GCTCCTGCATGATCAGGATTCGGGGAGTAGTCAGCGGCGGCAACGATAAGGCGATTATCATGACGCATAGCCTTATCGAAGTAACGTTCCGACACTGACTTTATGTGTTTGCGGATCGATTCGAGGCCCAGGTCGTCGTGAAGGTCGACGTTCCTCACGAACCACGGAGCCCCGAGCTGCAAAAGCGGGATTGTAGGGATTGGAGGGTGTCTATGTGTGTGCGGGCCGCGTGAGCGAACACCACACTCGCGTAAGTCATGACGGGCCTTATGCAAGTTTTGTAAAGTGTCACCTTGTTCCGAAGGGACATTTTACTCCGCTTACAGATCATGGGATAGAGTCTACCGAGAATAAATGCGGCACGGTCACGGACTGTTTTTATATGCGGACGGAATGTCATGGATGCATCCAGGGTTACTCCCAGGTACTTGACCTTCCTGGTCCAGGGTATAGGTTGGCCGAAGAGGGTGATCGGGGGTGTGATATTTCTCCTCCTAATGCGGGAAGAAATAAGCGGAGACGCAAATATGTCTATATGTTAATGTAATATGTCTATATGTTAAGGTTGGCTCACTATAATGTTTTGTATGCTAACCAAATTTGTTCTAAAATAAAGCATTATTTGTGAACGCGGACGAAGTCGCGGGCAAAAGCTAGTAAGTTAATAAAACACTATTTTTTTCTGCATACATATATAAATCGATCGTCATACCATTATAATTTTGGGTGCAATGTAACTTTGCAATTGTTAGAAAACGCAATACAACTTTATAAATTCGTGAGCAAGGAGGTACCTACCTATACCTAATATGTGTACTATTAACATTTTTGAAAAGAAATTGTTAATAGTACACATATTTAAAAATTATTTTCAAATTCCATTGTATACACTTTAAAGAATAATAAAATGTAGTGTTACAAAATTTTCGAGATTATTGCGAAGAGCTAGCAATTCTTATGAATTTTTATGGAAAATCCCTTTATAGAGAACAAAATTTTCTTTATTTACTAGTTTTATTGTTCTTCAGTTCAATATTCAGCTTACCTCCTCTTCAGCCTCAGCGAAAGGATCCACAAAGACTTGGGCTGCTTCAATAACTATATCCTGTATGGGCCTGTCTTTATTGTCGACCTCAATCGACTCCATGGCGTTCAGAGTGTCCAGACCGCCGACCAGCTTCCCGAATATAGTGTGCTTACCGTCCAACTGTTTGCACGAACGGAACGTAATGAAACTAAAAAAATAAGTTATTATTTGAACAGTTTATCGAGTGCAGCTCAGAAAAAGTTTACCATAAAAATAATTATAATAATATAAATTTCTATTTGAACATGAACGGACAACATCACCTATAGGCATTTGCTAAGCATATTTATAAATTCTTCAATGGTAATGTCAAAATACTTAGTCTGGTCATAAATACTGTTACAATTAAAAATAAACAAAATATTACATTTGAATTTGGAATCTGTCATTTTTATATTATGATTGCTCATTGAGTTTTCTCATTTTGGCGCCAATACATTGTACAATATTTTGCGATATTAAAATAGAGTGGGGTGATAAAGAGAACCGAATCGCTGTGATTGCATTACACAAAGTAGGTATGGAGCCAAATGCAATTTTTAAACTCTCCGTACGCCTGGTATTAGTAAAATGTTTGTGTACCGGGCTATTAATAGGTGCAATGAGACCTCCTCTGTTTGTGACAGAAAAATATCTGGCCGTCCACGTAGTGTTCGTACGAAACAGGTGGTTAAAGCAGTAAGGGAAAGAATTCGAAGAAATCCTGTCCAAAAGCAAAAGATTTTATCTCGGGAGATGAAGATAGCACCTAGAACCATGTCGCGTATTTTAAAAGATGACTTAGGACTTGCAGCCTATAAGAGATGTACTGGTCATTTCTTAACTGATAATTTAAAGGAGAACACGGTGGTAAAATCGAAACAACTACTGAAGCGAAGGGAGGTCATAGAAATTTTTTGTTTACAAATGAGAGCAACATTTTAACAAACAAAATGACCGTATTTATGCTCAAAGCTCTAAGGAGGCTTCCCAATTAGTCGACAGAGTGCAACGTGGGCACTATCCGACTTCAGTGATGGTTTGGTGGGGTATTAGCTATGAAGGAATGACTGAGCCATACTTTTGTGAAAAAGGTATCAAAACATCGGCACANTCATAGAAAATTTTTGTTTACAAATGAGAGCAACATTTTAACAAACAAAATGACCGTATTTATGCTCAAAGCTCTAAGGAGGCTTCCCAATTAGTCGACAGAGTGCAACGTGGGCACTATCCGACTTCAGTGATGGTTTGGTGGGGTATTAGCTATGAAGGAATGACTGAGCCATACTTTTGTGAAAAAGGTATCAAAACATCGGCACAAGTGTATCAAGATACCATTCTTGAGAAGGTAGTGAAGCCCCTTAACAACACCATGTTCAATAATTAAGAATGGTCCTTCCAGTAAGACTTGGCGCCAGGTCATAAAGCTCGGTCTACGCAGTCTTGGTTGGAAACGAACGTTTCGGACTCGAACTTGACAGCTGAAGACTGGCCGTCGTCTAGTCCCTATCTTAATCTGCTGGATTATAATTTATGGTCAGTTTTAGAGAGTACGGCTTGCTCTAAACGCCATGATAATTTGGAGTCCCTAAAACAATCCGTACGATTGGCAGTGAAAAATTTTCCCATGGAAAGAGTGTGTGCTTCTATTGATAACTGGCTTCAACGTTCAAAGGACTGTATTGCAGCCAATGGAGACCACTTCGAATAAGCTTTTTATACTTTAAATTGTTTTATATTTATGTGTTAAATTAACACACTGTAAAAGTAATAAATGTTTTTGCAATAGATTTTTTTTTTCCCTTTGTCTCAGTATTTATGGCAAGACTAGGTAAACTCACAGTCTTGAGTAGAACCAAAGCACTGGTCTTCTTCACGTTCTTGTATTTATTTAATTTTCAAATAGTGAAGTTTTGAGAATAGTAATTTTATTTATTGTTTTAGAAAATTCATACAACACGAAACTACAATTTCAAAAAAGCAACTCTGTCCCAGTCCTAAAAGATTCAGTTCATTTATAGTTATTAAAAATACATCTAGTACTTACAATTGTGATCCGTTAGTATTGGTTCCCGAGTTAGCCATAGACAAGACTCCTCGTCCGGTGTGGTGCAAGTTTGGCTTAATTTCATCATCAAAAGGTTTCTTCCAAATGGATTCGCCTCCCAACCCTGTGCCCGTTGGATCTCCTCCTTGAATCTATATATATAAAAATGAATTGCTGGTCGTTAGTCTCGCTAAAACTCGAGAACAGCTGGACCGATTTGGCTAACTTTGGTCTTGAATTATTTGTGGAAGTCCAGAGAAGGTTTAAAAGGTAGATAAATATGAAAATGCTCGGAATTAAATAAAAATAACAATTTTGTTTTCCCTTTGAGTTTATTTTTTACAAAAGTTTAGGTTTTTTGTTTATCGAGGCACTAAGAAGTCGGCCGCGTCAGCTAGTTTAATAAAAAAATCACATATTTTAAACAGATAAGTTGTCTAATCGCCAGACGAACTTCACGGTCCATCTGGTAATAGACAGTCTAAAACTAAACGCCTCTAGCATGATTGCTTTGTGTTAAAAATAGACAGAAAAGTGAGACCATAGGTCATAGGTTCTGTATCCTCTTATCACCTGTTTATCCCAAAAACCATATTGCAGATATAGTAAGTAGTTCTGAGCTTACAATAGAATTACTCTAGACACACATCCGTCTCTAATTCAATTTGTTTGTTCATTGATAGTTTTCATTAAAATAATAAAGCTAGCTGTCCCAGACCAACTTTTTTTTCAAAATGAAGGATTACTGGTGGCCTTTCCATTGTCACCAGGACAGGTGGGCGAGCAAAGGCTCAGCCAGGAGGCCATATCGAGAGGTGTAAGGCTATTTGGTTTAAGCGATATTTCGCTTTATACGCAATGCAATAATAATGTTGTATCTATTATAAAAGCGTTGCAGAGATAACACAAAGGCAGTCAGTAATCGCATCTACTCGAAGCGAAACAGCGAACGGATCACCTGAAGCGAAGTGGAAGAAGTTAATTAAGAACTTTAATGTTGTGGTTTTTTTTTTTGCTTGGATTGGTGGACGAGCTCACAGCCCACCCGTTGTTAAGTGGTTCTATGTGTTAATACAGTTTTAAATTGTACTTCGGTAGAATTTTTAGTTATCCCGAATCCCAACGCGTAAAAATATTTTGTCCCAATTATAAACTTTAAATGGCCCTCCTGTAATGTAGCAAAAATGTCGCTTAAGCCAAATGGCCTTTCACCCCTCGATACGTAGTTTAATTAATCAAGATGTCAGACACTTTTTTTAGGACCTCTTGAGTCCACGCGGGAGATACCACCACCCTGCCTATTTCTGCCGTGAAGCAGTTATGCGTTTCGGTTTGAAGGGTGGGGCAGCTGTTTTAACTATGTGGGCCTGCGGAAGAATTTCGATTCCCGCGGCCCCGCGCACGTGTGGTGAGGCACCAGGGTGGTTTTAGCCGGTAGGAGTCCGGCACGCCCCTCCGCCTTTCACCAGGCGGAGGCAATCCATGAGGATTTCTCCCCGAAAAAAAAAACCTGTTGTTACTATACTTGAGACCTTAAACTTATATCTCAAGGTGGGTGGCGCATTTACGTTGGAGACGTCTATGGGCTCCAGTAACCACTTAACACCAGGTAGGCTTTGAGCTCATCCACCCATCTAAGCAATAAAAAAAGTTGAAGTTCTGCAAATCGGAACTACCAGTCTTTTTACACTAGTCATGGTATAAAACTCATCGCCACTTAATATTGTCATCAACTCACCATAAAATTCCTGATAGACCTGTGGAACTTTGTTCCGTTGTAGTATCCATTTTTACAATGTGTCATGAAGTTGTGACAAGTTTTGGGCGTTACGTCGCAGTACAATTCAAAGTTCAGATGTCCTACATTTGTTACCAGTCTTACATAGCCTGGAACAAACATTGTCTGGTCTTAACAACCTTGCCCTTACATTACTTTTTATGAATTAAAGAGTGATGGATGGTGTTTTGAAGCCCAAATCTATCTCGGGGGTCTCATCTCTCATCACCTATAGGCATGGCTAGTGTTATAGCTATGTGTATGGCAGGAAAAATGGTACCTGTATCTAATACTATGTAATATAAAAGGTATATATTACCAGTGATCAACTGATTACTTAAAAGTAATTGTTTCTGGTAAAACTTTTTTTATGTAATTTTTATATTTTATTGTCGGTAAATTTGAATCTAGTAAACATATTACTATCTTTTTAGTGTTCAGCAAACATGGTAACATTTATGAACATTGTTATTCATACAATGAGCTTCTGTACACATTTTTTACATTTTTTAACACTACAAGTCCGACTGGCGGGACTTTTGTGAGTTTTTGTGAGTTCGTTGTTCCGGGCTGTTGGCGAAGATGATATAGAAATAATGTTTACGCTGATTTGGTATGAGGTTTTAATATAAAAAGCGACACAATAACTAACATAAAATACAAAATGAGTTGAGAATCGTACAGTTAAACTAAGACTCGCAATATTTTACTGGTCGTCGTCGCGCGCGCTGAGGGCGTGTGTTTTCGCGCTCAGAGAGCTCTGTCTCAGCGGGCGGTAAGGCGGCGGCGGGGGCAGTATCGCACGTTCGGAAATTTCGTTCCGTTATAATTTCGTTTTATCAATTTATTAACTGATATATTATACTTTATCATGGCGTTAGTATATTGAAAACCAAAGCAAACATTCCATAATTACATAATACAAGTGGTTAATATAACCTTTCTTTTTTGTTCTTTCATAAATAACCTCATCTTCACATATGATGGCTGCTTCGTGTGTCGTCTCCGGTACCATTGCTGTCGATGTGAAGCTGGCCGCGACCTTCCCAGTGGAATAGTGGGCCGCATTGAATTTGTCGGCAGACTGAAACAAATAAAAATATTTTAACAAAAGGGAATATCCAAAGTTTTTGTATTTTCTTTAAATTGGTACATAACCTATTTGCTATTTAGTAAACTTAGAAGAAATCTTAGAAGTCGTCGTGGCCTAAAGGATAAGACGTCCGGTGCATTCGTGTTGAGTGGTGCACCGGTATTCGAATCTCGGCGGGTACCAATTTTTCTAATGAAATACGTACTCAGCAAATGTTCACGATTGACTTCCACGGTGAAGGAATAACATCATATAATAAAAATCAAACCCGCAAAATTATAATTTGCGTAATTACTGGTGGTAGGACCTCTTGTGAGTCCGCGCGGGTGGGTACCACCACCCTGCCTATTTCTGCCGTGAAGCAGTAATGCGTTTTGGTTTTAAGGGTGGGGCAGCCGTTGTAACTATACTTGAGACCTTAGAACTTATATCTCAAGGTGGGTGGCGCATTTACGTTGTGGATGTCTATGGGCTCCAGTAACCACTTAACACCAGGTGGGCTGTGAGCTCGTCCACCCATCTAAGCAATAAAAAAAAAAGCTATTGACATTCTCCATCAAGTATCAAGTTTCTATTCAATTGCTTAAGCAAAGTACAAAGTAGATTTTATATTTATGTTGAATGATGAATAAGCATCATTTTTAAATAATAAATATAACAGCATTCATTGTTTTTAAAGACCTGCCTGATCTGAATTGTATTGAAGTCCATACCTACCTCTTTTTGATCTTCTTTCTTTTCTGGTGCCTTATAGTCCTTTTCTAATTCTTGTAATATATCTTTTGTTTCGGCAGATACTGTTTTCAATCTTGCATGAGGGTCTTTTTTCAATGCTATTTCCTCTAAATGAGCAAATTTAACAATGTTTAAGTTAACTTTAATTTTTTTCAAAAGTCAATGATATATCACTTGAACAGCGGTAGTTATGAGAGTAAAATTGCTTGGTTAAATTTTAGTAAATTGCTTTTGTTACAAAAAGTTTAGTCAAAAACACCACTTGACTACTAAGGCAACAATTTATTTATGCCTCAGCTACTACCAGCTTATATAGGCAATCATAACCTTTTAACTCTCATTAATCACATTAAATTTAGTTCAAAATGTAATTTTTTTTAAATGTTCGTTATTATATTCAGAACTACAACTAGTTATACACGAACAATAATTGAGTTACCTTCAGTTTCAACACGTAAATTGTGTTTTATGTGATGAAAATTTGATATATTAAACTTTGCCAAGTTTTGAGGGTCCTGAATAGTGATAATATCATTACGTGCAGCAAAGGGTGTATCATCAACCAGGTCCTTCCAATTTTTGCCTTTGATATTGAGCTGTTCAACAGCCTCATAAGAGTAGACATTTCCACTAGTGCGTATGGCAACAATATGCGAGTTTTTTGTAAAGGGTTTAAATAATACTGGGCAGTGGTAGGCATCTTCAGCATTTTTGAAGAAGTTTAACTTTATGAGAGTTTTTATATCAAGTTTCTGTAACAAAAAAAAAGTTATTCATTTACTTCTTTTAATCTTATGTGCATAGCCAATTGATATTTAAGTACAATTTTCAAGTTATTGTGGCCTATGGGATAAGAATCCCAGTGCATTGATACATTGGTAAATGTTCACTAATGCCTTCCACCTTGATAGAATCACATAGTGCAATGAAAATCATTACCACAGAAATTGTAATTTGTGTAATCACTGCTGGCAGGGCAAGCCTACAAGGGTAGGTTCCACCACTCTGTCTATTTCTGCCATGAAGCAGTAATGCGTTTCTATTCGTAGCCGTTTTACTGAAAAAATTGTAGATGTGGAACTCATGTCTCAAGTTGGCAGCGTCATTTACGTTGTTGATGTCTATGGGTTCAGGTGATCACTTGACACCAAGTGGGTAGGAGCTCGTCCGCCCAACTTAGCAATAAATAAAAATATTTACAATCCTTATCGAACTAACCTTTCCAGTCACAGGATTAATTTTAAACTTTTTTCGAAAATCAATGATAGCTTGCAATTCAAATACATTGCCGTCTGCATCACAGTAGGGATCGTCAAAGGGCTGCAAACAAAGACAACAGTGATCGAATGGAAGTCTTTTAAATGTTGTATCTTCTTCAGTAGCCGTTCCAGAACGTTTTCCACCGTAGAGAGTTGTCCATTCCGTATACGTTAAATACCTTAAATTTACAGAAAACGTTTTGAAATAGTAGAATATTTAGGCTCTAAACATAGTCAATGACAAGCTTACATTTTATCTTTTTGATGCTGTCGTTTCCCCATCTTGAGTGTTTTTTACGATATTATAATTCTACTTAATTACGTTAAATACGTACGTTAAATAAATAACACTGTTGCTTAATTCTCTCAGAGTCAGAAAGAAGAAAATATATTTTGATTTTAATTAAGCTTGATTGCAGATCTTGTTTTGAAAATGGTAGTGTTGTCGTATCGAAGTTTTTCTTAAATTATTTTTTACAGCCACTGGTGGCGTGACTTTTTAGCATCATTTGAAATAAATAAATAAANTTCAAATATTTATTAACAAATTATAACTTCAAAATTTCTGTGGCGCCCATGTTTTATATGGAACTGTCGGGCTTTGTGCTGCCTTTACCATATTTTTTGATGGCGTAAAATTGACGCATCCACCTTGTTCTTTAACTGCCTGTTTGACATGTAGAATTGCTGCAATATGTTCATTTTTAAATTTGTTCCGCAAGTGTTTTTTATGTTGCTTATTTGAGAAAATAGGCGCTCACAAGCTGTATTAGACATAGGCAAAATCATCATGGCCTTTGCAAAATCAACCAAGTGCGGATACTACTTAGTTCTATCAGCCTTCGTCATTTTTGAAATGTGGCCCCAAAACATTTTTGTGTTCAAACTCATAGGTGTGGGATTAGAACTTCCTCCAGATTCTAACAGTTTGGATACTGTTTTGTCTAATTTAACCTCCCGATATTCGGAGTCAATTGCTTGCATGTTAGATTCTTTAACCAAATTAGGAAATTTAGAAACAGTTCTGGCCAAACTTGTGAATTCTTTGTATAAACCGTTTTGCGGATCAAGAAATTGCAAATTACGAGTATTACACAACTGAGTGACGATGGTCGACCACTATTTAGGAAATATGTAAACAGTGTTCATTGAACACTACACACAACTTCAAAGCTAAACATTTAACGGGGAATCCCCTAAAATTTGCTTGAGTGCTGGCATTGTTGGAAGAAAAACTTGACATTGTTTTACAAAGGTAAAATTCCTCAAATATTTTTAGCGCAACTACCCGAATGACTAAATATGAAACACAGTTAGATGTCAAATCCTGCTACAATTCTGCGAAGTTTTTATGAGATTCAGCCAAAAAATTCCTTATTTTCAAATCTGCAACACAATCTGCTAAACCTTAAATTGGGGGTCTAATTCTGCTAAAATCACAGAATTCTGCTAAATCTGGTCACACTGGTTGTCGTATCGAAGTTTTTCTTAAATTATTTTTTACAGCCACTGGTGGCGTGACTTTTTAGCATCATTTGAAATAAATAAATAAACATAAGTATACTTTTTGTAAAATAGTTGACATTACTTCACAGAGAAACTGTGAAAGCAAATCGAGTTTATCAATATTATAATTATTTTCTTCGGGTTTCGCGAGTCGTTGGCTTATTATAACTACTAAATATATAACAATTATTACTATGAAATAACCCGAGATTAAATCGTAAGAGTAATTTAATTATTATCAACGTTATTACAGGCTTACTTCTGATGAAAAGTAAATTAGCATAATAGGTACATAAAATAATCTGCAGTCAAATAGAATCTTCAAGTTTCTACCAACAGGAGAAAACGTCAACACAATAAGATCCTTATTTCTTAAAACCCTGGCAATTATTTAAATAATTTATCAAGCGGCAACATTGGTAAAAAAGTAGAAAATGTCGGAAAGTGGTTGTGCATTGTGTAAATTTTTGTAATTTTTCTTTAACAATTGATTAATAGTAATTAGTTAGATTAAGTAAAATTAATTTGTATTGTGTGAGTAGTAAATTTATCTATTAGATAATTGTTTAGTCTTGATTTATAATTCATAAAGATTCTGAATTTACGAAGTGGCAGCGTGAAAAATTACTAAGTTGTTTGTGTTGGTGCGGGTGACGGCTGACGATCAAATGGTTGAAATGTGGTAATTGCTACAAGTAATAAAGAATAGTCAGAAAACAGAAAAAAGCACAAGTTTATCATTAAATAAGGTATATTTCAGTTATAAGTCTCGAAGTAGTATTGAATTACGGGAAAGTAACTCGGTGATTTGGGCTTTGCAGTGCGGACATCGTCGTCGAGATTCCTTTGGTACATATAGGGGTTGTTAATTCCTAAAGTGGAAAAGTATTTTCGTTACTTATTTGTTACCCGTCAGAACACCTGAAATTCTCAGAAACTGGTAATTGGATACCAAAAATCGTAAATTATCGGATAACGCCAGCCCACAAGATGGCCGACTGTTATTCGTAAGGTACAAATAAATCTTTTTTAAATCGTATTTTGTCCCTAGATCTTTTACATAAGTGAATGATTTGCGATTCAATTTATTTTGCGTCTCTGTGTTTATATTTTGCAGTATAATTTTTTTAAATTGAAGTATCTGAATGTCTTTGTGTCGAATTTTTTGCTCGAGCTTCCAACAAAAAAAAAAAGTGCAAGACAAAATTTTCTACCTGGTCCTGACCCAAATTACTGGAACGTTGCACGCCAATAGTTAATTTGGGAATCAGTATTAATTTTCAACGTTCAGTGTAAATGAGTCTCATTTAGATTATTCATTGTCATCAATGTTTTGAAGTTATTTTACTCACATGTAATAATGTCAACATACAAGCATGGATAGTAACTGATATTTTTTTATTGCACATCGTTTGCTTTTCTTAACACACCGCTTCGTTATGCAGAATTAGGCGTTTGATGCTTTTAGATAATGTCTGGTGCATCTGGTTCATCAGGCAGTGGAACTGGTCGAGGCAGAAGTGCAACAGACGGCAAACCAGACACGAAGGAGAACAAACCAAACCATAAAATGTCAAAGGCTCTCGGCACATCGGCCAAGAGGATTCAAAAGGAATTGGCAGAAATTACATTGGACCCACCACCAAACTGCAGTGCAGGACCAAAAGGAGATAATTTGTATGAATGGGTGTCTACCATCCTTGGGCCACCAGGCTCAGTGTATGAAGGAGGAGTATTCTTCCTAGACATTCATTTTTCACCAGAATACCCGTTTAAGCCACCAAAGGTAATTTACACAATGGATTATTTGATACAAAAGGCTTTTAAATTAGATGCTGGGAACATAATGTTTTGCCTCATAAATATACTAGTTTGATATATACATAAAATAAATAATAGTTCAACTCAGCATCAAGAATAACCATTTTTGGAAGTTTTTTCAAGTATGTATTGTTTTGTAAATTCCTGTTCTGAATTAAAGGTAACAGCAGAATGCACATTACAACATATGAGATTGTATCTTGTCTATGAGATTATTTTGGTTGGTTTGGTTCTTGGCATATAATTCTTTCAATTGCATTTTTAGTAACCTCTAAATTATAGCTGATGAATTATTGTTTGGCATTGTAAGTAGAGGAGCACTTTACCTACCTGATAATGAGTGGTCACTATAGCTCCTTAACAGTGAATCCAGTGACATAACCAAGATATTGTCTGTTTTGTAGATTGAAATTGGTAGAAGAGACATATCTCAAGTGGTCACTGAATTTAGTGAATTTTACTTTTTTATTTTCTCTAAATGGACCAGCTCACAGTGTATCGGATGTGATGTTAGTTAAAGGTGTACTACTGCTGCTGAATTGTGGGTTCATGTGAGTTTCACCCTACCAATAAGCGTATGACTATGATGAACATGTCGCAAATACACTGCTAGACACATACACATTTGCTTGGGAAAAGTGATACCTGCTTCATATTTTGATCTCAAGAATGTGTGTATCACTTGATTTTAAGACCCAAGGGTTCTTATGTATTATTCTTTGACATTTTAAATGTTTCTTCTCAGTTGTGAAATGTGTCACTGCAATTCCTTCCAGGTGACATTCCGAACAAGGATATATCATTGTAACATCAACAGTCAGGGAGTGATATGTTTAGACATCCTGANAGTGATACCGGCTTCATATTTTGATCTCAAGAATGTGTGTATCACTTGATTTTAAGACCCAAGGGTTCTTATGTATTATTCTTTGACATTTTAAATGTTTCTTCTCAGTTGTGAAATGTGTCACTGCAATTCCTTCCAGGTGACATTCCGAACAAGGATATATCATTGTAACATCAACAGTCAGGGAGTGATATGTTTAGACATCCTGAAAGACAACTGGTCTCCAGCTCTAACAATATCCAAAGTATTACTCTCAATATGTTCACTCCTAACTGACTGTAATCCAGGTATGTATTCCAATGTTTGTTTGTATCCATAACATAAAAAAACTAACCCCTAACTACCCATTAGCTAGATATCTGCATTTTTTGCTGGACCTTCTTAGCAGGTCACGATGCTCATGTGGTAGTAGATGCATTTGTGAAGCAGTTGCTCTCAAGCTGTTAGGCCTTCATTGGAGGGGCTATGGTAGCAGTTAGCAAATCATGTCTCTCTTGGCTGAGCCCATGCTTTCCCACCTGCCCTGGTAAAACTGGAAAGGCCTCTAGCTCAGCAGGAATGGTTACTTTTCAAAAAGAAGTTGTGATTACAATAATCAAGTACTGCAAAAGCATGAATGTTTCTTTGAGAAAGTAGCAAGACACGATAATCATACCAGTTTTTATTTCCATTTGACCATACAGAGATTGTTTGGAACCTCTGGGTCTGCGGAGGGACTTCGGTTCCCTCTGTATTTTGTACCGTATGTTCCATGGGGAGTGCTCTGCGGAATTGTTCGAGATGATACCGGCATCTCGTTTTTACTATCGCACCGCCCGCCACCGGAGTAGAGTTCATCCATACTACCTGGAGCCACTGCGGTCATCCACAGTGCATTTCCAGAGTCTTTTTTGTCACGTACCATCCGGCTATGGAATGAGCTCCCCTCCACGGTGTTTCCCGAGTGCTATGACATGTACTTCTTCAAACGAGGCTTGTGGAGAGTATTAAGCGGTAGGCAGCGGCTTGGCTCTGCCCCTGGCATTGCTGAAGTCCATGGGCGACGGTAACCACTCACCATCAGGTGGGCCGTATGCTCGTCTGCCTACAAGGGCAATTGATCACTTCATATTACATACCCAGATGTCAGTGCAACATACCGCTGATGTTACCTATAAATGTTATTTCGGATTCTCACGATCCGCTCTTGGTGCTTTAAACATCGAAGTACTGGCCACCAATCTCCTCGCATTCAACAAAGAGTTTCTACTTTCATCTTCACACAAAGACTCACCTATTGAGTTTCTCTCTGAATCTTCTCATGGGTCCCGATTCCAATTTAGTTGTAGATTCAGTCATAACACAGCACGTACTAGGGCAGATGTGAGTAAATTGTCACAGGCTTAGCCTCTTGAACTCGCCCATCAATCAAGGTAATGCCAGAGCCCTTCATGACTACTGGCAGTTAATAAATAAAAGAACAAGGGTGATAAATATCTTTAAAGTTGTAATAATATATTAAGAAAATCTTTGCTTCATACTGTCTTAATTCTGCATAAATCTGTTGAGAAGTATTTTTTTATCACCAACACAGGCAAACAAGCTATATGGATTCCTTATATGTAAACCAAGGGTTCCCAAGCTTTTTTTATCTACTGCCCACTTTGAGAATAAATTATTTTTTAGCGCCCTCATTTTTTCACTTTCTTAGAAACCACTATAGCGGGAGCTCAGTCGGTGTCTAAGAGTCCTTTTAAATGAAATTGAAAATGAAACAAATCGCCTCCCAAGCCTCTACACAACACCGGTTTCTGGGTCTCTTACCGCCCCCCTTTAGGCTTGTAGCGCCCACAAGGGGGTGTTATCGCCCACTTTGGGAAAGGCTGATGTAAACGGTACATTATACAATATTGGGCGTAATTGGATTGCCAGCCTGGTAAATCAAATCTAATAATAAGGGGAATAGTTAAGCCATTTTCACTGCCAAAGATATGGTGTTCTAGCTCTGTGCTTTAAAAAGCCCATAAATATTCTGTGAGGATTAGGTCCTGTGAATAGGTAATCTTGTAGCTTAATTTTTTAACAGTAACCATGTTATTGTGCAATCAATCCTCATTCCCGATCCTGCGGACAGAATGGAAAGCAGTCGACGTCGCCCAAAACTCGTCATCTCGGATCCTCCCGATCCACTAACGGTGCTTTTAGGTACTTCAAGCACCGGTTACCGTTCTGGTCGAACCCGTCGCTTACGACGAAGGGCTCGACGAGTAAATTAACTCTCAGACACAGCCCACTGAGTTTCTCGCCGGATCTTCTCAGTGGGTCGCGTTTCCGATCCGGTGGTAGATTCTGCGAAGCACGACTCTTGCTAGGGTTCGTGTTAGCAACGTCATCAGGTTTGAGCCCCGTGAGCTCACCTACAAACGTTAGGGTTACGCTGAAGTAGCCTCTCAAGGCTCTCAGCTTAGGTAGGAAAAGAAAAAAAAAAAAAGCAATCCTGTTAGAATTGAACACTGTCCATGTTGAAAACAATTAAAACAACAAAGGAAAATAATAAAAGATGTAAATTCACACATTTCTCTAAATCCAGATTTGCTCATAAAGTCAAATAACATTAAAATACTTTGCTATGTTTTAAAGTTCACCATTTGCTCCCTGGGCCAAACTTTTTGCAAATCTGGCAATGCACAAACGTGTATCAAAATATGAAATCATAATTATAACAATAAATAAGTCTTTTTGTAACTAGCTGTGTACCTTGAGCTGATTGACTAGCCCTATTGTAAGTGTTACTTGTCATATATCATTGTATTATCTTTTTCTTTTTTTTTTTTTTTTTTCATACCTGACTTGGTAGCCTTGAGAGGCTATTCCAGCGTAACCTTAACTAGTAGGTGAGCTCACGGGGCTCAAACCTGACGACGTTGCTAACACGAACCCTAGCAAGAGCCGTGCTTCGCAGAATCTACCACCGGATCGGAAACGCGACCCACAGAAGATCCGGCGAGAAACTCGGTGGGCTGTGTCTGAGGGTTAATTTACTCGTCGAGCCCTTCNTGGTAGCCTTGAGAGGCTATTCCAGCGTAACCTTAACTAGTAGGTGAGCTCACGGGGCTCAAACCTGACGACGTTGCTAACACGAACCCTAGCAAGAGCCGTGCTTCGCAGAATCTACCACCGGATCGGAAACGCGACCCACAGAAGATCCGGCGAGAAACTCGGTGGGCTGTGTCTGAGGGTTAATTTACTCGTGGAGCCTTTCGTCGCAAGCGACGTGTTCGACGAGAACGGTGACCGGTGCTTGAGGTACCTAAAAGCACCGTTAGTGGATCGGGAGGATCCGAGATGACGTGTTTTGGGCGACGTCGACTGCTTTCCATTCTTTCCGCAGGATCGGGAATGTAGTTACCGGCGGCCACGATGAGAGGGTTCTCGTGTCGTGGCGCTTTATCGAAGTGGAGTATTATCATTACTGTATTATAAACTAGTTAAAAACCTTGATTTTCAGGCACTTTGAAATAGACTTCCCATGAAATTTGATTATAATTTTTTCATTTTATTTTTGGATCTGTTCATACTGAACCCTCTTGTTGAAGAGCCATGGCTTTAACTTGGCTTGACAGCCTTTCACCGAAATTGGATCCATGATTTCTCTCAACAGAGCAACGATTTTATTTTTCAACAAATCCCACATTGTTGTAACTGATTGCTTCTATGCTCTGGTGATCAGAGATTTCACCTGTTCATGTAGAAACTGCATCTCTAAACTTGTATGCAATGTATAAGTACAAAATATTAGACTTAGTATGCAATCTCAAGCTTTACACATGTAGTTAAATAAATATTTTGTCATTTCAGCGGATCCTTTAGTTGGCAGTATTGCAACACAATATATACAGAATAGGGAAGAGCACGACCGCATCGCGCGCCTCTGGACAAAGCGTTACGCGACATGATTGTGTTACTACAAACATGCTACAGTAAGAAAGGACACACATACTCAACACCATTCTGTACTAAATCCATCCTATTTACCTAAATGTAAGCTTATGTTATTGATTAACGCGCCCTCTGTATACATGCAAATGGATCTTTGTCATTTGCTAAAATATGTAAAGCAGTTTTTTTTTTCCTAAAAAATTACTGATCATTGCATTTGATGATTATTATGTACAAAATTCCAATTCTTATTTAAGAATAATTTGGTATTATGTATATCATTTGATTGAAATACAGTATGTTACATAGCTGTAATGCAGAGTGCGCTTAATGGCTTATTTGTAAATTTAGTTGCAATTAATGTGATGTCACGCTTGAGACGACAGTCTGAATTGTATAATTTTAGTTACGAATTAATTTTAGTTTAAACAAACGTTTTTCGTTAATTATACTATTACTGTATTATGTAAAAATGCAGACTAAAAAATGTAAACATAGGTTTAAACCAGTGAATTGAGTCAATTTTACCGCTCAACGCGATGATCTCATGCGCTCATCAACTGTTACTACTTATTCATAAGTATGTCTTATATTGCGATTGATGTGATGGCACAACTTGGAAAAATAAATCGCATACTCCAATGAAATTGCTTATGATTTTTCAATTTTGAATGAATGGTACAGAAAGTTATTACAAACTTTTTATTTTAATTTATTGAGCAGAATTGCTACTTTAAATGTAGATCTGATACTTAAGGGCTCCCATGCACTAGGAAGACATGCGTTAAAAAGCCGTTGCCGATATTTAATGGAAGAGTGAATTGTGTAATTTTTATTCTGTAAGAAATTCCAAGTAAAGTGAATATTTAATTCATACTCGCTTTGCTTAAATTTCGACTAATGATAGTCATCATCCTGCAGCTACTACATGTAAAAATATTTTTTATATGTAAGGATTTTAAAACTGATTACTCTTAACTCTGAATAACGAGTATTCGAGATATAACAGTACAGATATGTGAGATAGCAGGTTTATTTATATAATACGATGTTGACAATGTGTAGATACGAAATTCAACNTTCATACTCTCTTTGCTTAAATTTCGACTAATGATAGTCATCATCCTGCAGCTACTACATGTAAAAATATTTTTTATATGTAAGGATTTTAAAACTGATTACTCTTAACTCTGAATAACGAGTATTCGAGATATAACAGTACAGATATGTGAGATAGCAGGTTTATTTATATAATACGATGTTGACAATGTGTAGATACGAAATTCAACTATGTATACACATAAAAACTTTGGAAGGTTGAGGGTGGCTATCCTTCGAGAGATTCACATTATTCAGCTCTACTTGCTGTTAGATTCTGTTCTAATGTAGTCTTCAAAGAACAATATGTTCCTATATATCGATTGCCGCACTTCAGCTGTTTAGTGCACAGGGAGTTTCAAAAATTTGTTTGCTATAATATTGGCAAATTCAGTGATATTTTTGTTGCCAAAATGATTTCAATTTTCAATGCAATATTTTTAATATCTACTTTTATTTACGAAACATTTATCTACCACGCGCATATTATCCTATAATAAAATATAACAATCTTGTGTATGCGATAACTTCTATCTTTCGAGTTGTTTTTAACTCAGCTTAGTTTAGAAATAATTTTGATTGACGCATATTACTATATATCGATCAATTATTAATATATGCAAACATAATATAATTCCAGTATGTAGTGTACCAACAACGTGGTTTTACATTCTAATTTTTATAAATTTCCAAATTTTGTGATGTTGGTAATATTCAAAATGATTTGACCACATATCAACGTTTTATTAAGTATTTCCGATATTTTTATGTTACGATCGCTATATTTGTGCCAAAATTTGTAGGCACCTCAGGCCTTTGCTCCAGTAATTTCCTGATTTTCCAGAATATTCCTTTTACTATATAAACATTTTTAGATGTAAGTTATTTTATTGTCTAGATAATGTATAACGTACGATTTAATTTAGCGGATAGTTTTTTAGGCCTTCTAATGATTTTAGCGAAGTGTATGTCGCGCGTATGTGAATGATTTTTGGTGATAGCATAAAAAAATAGTAATGATAATTTTTATATGAATTCGGTGATTATGTTAGTAAATGATGTAACTGGTGCTGTGAGATTCAAATGCTTGCGACATACAGAACGTATGTGGGAATACTTTGCGTATTCGGAACTGGACGTTGTCATTGTGATTAAATTATTTTTTATGGACACTAAGCACTATTTGCAGTCAAAGTGTGCTTTTAATTAATGCGACTGATATGTTCCTTGAAAACTTGTACTATCCCTTGTAACCATCTTTCGTTACAAATTAAATCATAATAAAATAGTGAAATAAAGTTGTGTGTAACTAGGAAACAAACGATGTTTTATTAAANCGGAACTGGACGTTGTCATTGTGATTAAATTATTTTTTATGGACACTAAGCACTATTTGCAGTCAAAGTGTGCTTTTAATTAATGCGACTGATATGTTCCTTGAAAACTTGTACTATCCCTTGTAACCATCTTTCGTTACAAATTAAATCATAATAAAATAGTGAAATAAAGTTGTGTGTAACTAGGAAACAAACGATGTTTTATTAAACGGGTCATTTCAATGAAACAAATTGTTGGTATGCAAATTTATTGTAGATACACGATTTACGAAGAAATACCGGGGCCTTTACAGAACCGTTCCCGAAATTGAAGACATAGCGGCGAGACCTTTTTATTTTAGCAAAGCTTGCATTCGAAAGATTTTAATCTACTAAATAATCTTTTGGTGTGAGCAATGTAACTATCAAAAAAGAGCGCACTCGTGAGTTTTCGTGAGTCGCTAGAATGCGAGTATCTGTTAGATGGTTTTTACTTTTAAATGACGAAGTAAAACTAAGAATTTAGTTTGTTTTTGTAAATTAATATTGTTTTGAATTCCGAGAACCATTCTGTTACGCCCCTATATGAGAATGAAGAAAAATATCTTATTTCGAGATTAAACACAAATCATTTAAAATGTGCCCACTACTGTCAACAAACTAGTGCTGCTACACAATACAATTATAGATCAATAAATGTTTGAATATAAAAGGAAGAACGGATCGATATTCGAGAGAGGAAAGGTTTCTAAAATCAGTCTTCTGTCCTGAGCACACTTGTCAATGTTGTGCAATTGTACTTTCAATTATTATTCAAAAACAAATTAAATGTATTAAAGTTAAATCGTCTTTTATCCTTCAACAAAAGAACGTGAATATAAAAATAAACTAAAAAAAACTCATTTCAAAATATACAGATAGGATTGAGTAGGTACACTTATCACAATACACGTTTAAACATTAAATATAGGTAGGTAATGAAATAGAATTGAATTTCGTTATTCTTATTAGTAATGGTTTTATCATATAAGTTTTGTTTTGTATTTTGTTGTAATTTAAACTGTTTCATATTGGCTGCGAATGGAACGAGCGAGGCAGCATGCGAATATCACACCGAGGAGCTGAAAAACAAAGACGGAATACGATAAATAATTATTGAATACAATGCAATGTTTTTATGACTTCAATTAGTTCTATCAAACAAATTATTTTATTTACAGTGTTTACCGTAGCCTATTGTTATCATAATGCTAATGCCACCCTTTTTAAAACATGATGAAATCAATAATTGAGTCGTCTATTATCAAAGGTGGCAATCTGTGCATTTGGACAAAAAAATGTTATTGATATGTCAATACAGATTGATTTGAATATAATCGTCTCCTTCAAAGAATACGGTTCAAAACCTGCATTAAATAAAGGTTAATAGTTAACCTGTTATTTATCTAAGATGTCGTTCTGAAGAGTTTTGTGACTGCCAATGGAACACAAAGTCAATAATTCGTTTTTCTGATTTACCAATATTGTTCAAAAGTCAGATTGCCGGCTTTGATAATAGACGACTCAATTATAAAATTCTGGTCACTCCAGAATGTATGATTTGATCCTTGTAGATATTTAAACTTGAAATAATCTCGCTAGTACTTATTATCGCGTTTAAAACTTTCACTAATGAAAATATGAAGAATACGAAATGCTTAATCACTTTTTACTGCTTGTGAGTCCGCACGGGTATGTAACACCACCCCGTCTATTTCTGCCGTGAAGCAGTAATGCATTTCGGTTTGAAGGGTGGGGCAACCGTTGTAACTATACTTGAGGCCTTAGAACTCATATCTCAAGATGGATGGCGCATTAACGTTGTAGACGTCTATGGGCTACATTAACCACTTAACACCAGGTGGGCTGTGAGCTCGTCCACCCATCTAAGTAATAAAAAAATATATTCTAAGAACTGTTTTTGTGGTGATTGCGTAATGGGTATTCATTTACCTGAACCAAAGCGATACCGACTCCAACGCCGGCGAGCACCATACCAATGTCCTTCATGTGAACAACCAGTTTAGTAAGACATCCCTTCGAGTGGAAGTTGGTCGAGTTCTCGGTGCAGTCCGCGACGACGCCGTTATTGATCTCCTGGGCGGAGCAGCACGTGCTCGGTATGGGCAGACCGTGATCGGCCCAGTCGGCCGGACTGTTTATACCGCAGCATTGCAACTGTCAGTGTTATAAAACATTTTTATTTAAGAAACTTATCGACATTATTGAGATAATCGTTAATGTTTCAAATTTTTATTAATTAATTTTTTTTTATTCACGTAGTATAAACAAACGTTTTTAGTGGTAGGACTTCTTGGGAGTCCGCACGGGTAGGTACCACCCCGTCTATTTCTGCCGTGAATAAGTAATGGGTTTTGGTTTGAAGGGCGGGGCAGCCGGTTGTACCGTTACAACTGAGATCTTGGAACTCATGTCTCAAGATGGGTGGCGGCTTTTACGTTGTAGATGTTATGGGCTCCGGTAACCACTTAACACCAGGTGGGCCGTAAGCTCTTTGACTCATTTAAGCAAAAAAAAAAAACTATCTTATATTTAACGTATATTGTGGTTATTTTATAAAAAATAATTGAAAATGGTATCGTTGAAATGGGTGGTTGACGTCATCAGTGGGATAAAGATTTTTTTTTTTATTTTTTTTTATTGCCCTTGTAGGCAGACGAGCATACGGCCCACCTGATGGGGAGTGGTTACCGTCGCCCATGGACTTCAGCAATGCCAGGGGCAGAGCCAAGCCGCTGCCTACCGCTTAATACTCTCCACAAGCCTCGTTTGAAGAAGGACATGTCATAGCGCTCGGGAAACACCGTGGAGGGGAGCTCATTCCATTAGAGTCGTTGCCTCCAAAAAAAAAAAAAACGTGACATGGAACTCATTCCATCAATGTCACCGATTTTTTGTACGACATAAGTACACTGAAAACATATTCAGATTGTTATATACCGCATTGATGGATAGGACTTAAAAAGAGTTCAAGTCATGAATACCTGTATGCTTCGAGTTGAAATTAGTATAAGTTTACGTTGGACGTGTGCATAGCTAGTATAATAATATCACAGATAATGCAACAATAAAAACATAAGAGGTGAGTTAGTAGTATACACCGACCCTTACATCTGATGTCAACAATATGAGAAATAATAATGTAATCGTGGTCAAACAACTTATTGACACTTCGAGACAGTTAATACGATATGCGAGGATTTGAAACATATCTAAAGACAATTTATCTGCTGAAATAGTATGAGCAGTTGATCTATGCGGGAATAGATACCTATATGGATATCTATATATTAATACGTGAAGCAAAAACTTTGTATCCCTTTTTACGAAAATTGCGCAGACGGAAGAGTATGAAATTTTCCACACTTATAGAGAATATAGAGAAGAAGTGCACAATGCCATTTTAAAAAAAAAAATGCATAAAAGATACATTAAATCAACAAAGAAAACATTAAACACACTACCATGTATTTGACACAACACGTATATATAAATAATATACTCTTTGTTTATTGTCAATTGTCAAACTTTTGTTAGTGTTTAAAGTCTATGGTCAAATTGAGAATAGATGAATATTGTTTGTCTTTATTATTATTTATGTAAAGTGTAGTTTTGACGAAATCTGTGATTATACGAGTATTATATTATTATAAGTACAATAGTATTTGACAATAGAACCATAATGTTTAAACATAAAATTTCAATTGATTAAAGTCGAATTTCGACTTCTGCGGGACCACTGGTTATGTTAAAAGTACAACCGTAGCTTGGAAAATTTGTATTCCTATCTGAAAATCCTATCTGTCTGGCAAAAGGAAGAGAGGCCGCCCCAGAACAACTTTGCGTCGCTCAGTGGAGCAGGAGCTAGGGGTCTTGGGCATGACGTGGGAGGAGGAGCTAGAACAGACTGCCCAAGACCGATATAAATGGAAAATTTTGATTCGAGCCCTACACCCCAGTAGAGGGTAATAGGAAAGAATGATGATGATGATCTGAAAATAGATACTTACGTCCGTTTGTATGATATCAATGGTCTTCTGGACGTTCTTGTCTACCGGATATTGAGTAATGGAAGCGTTCAGGTTGCGCATAACCGAATCTTCCAAGTCCGTATGCTTCATGTAACCAGCGATGCCCACAGCCAGTTCAGCCACGAATATGATCAAGAGGAATACTGAAAACTAAGCAATAACAAATAGCGTTAGATGTTGGTATGTTATTGTGTCCAGAAATTCCTTATTGGAAACATAGCTCATAGGAATTCTATAGATCATTCGGTCGATAAGAGGCCAACCATAAATTACGTCACACGAATTTTAGGACTTTTGAATCCCTCCCCCATCCTTGTCACATTTTTATAAACTCCTGATGTGATGTCACAGATTTTTCCAATTTATGCTTGTAAGTTAAATGACGTTGCATGAGAGATAATCTCATAGCGAGAATGCTAAATTATTAAAAACTATGGTTCAAGTTCGTAGATTTTTTTAGTTTTTTATTCACATCTAAGCTTCGCGTTTTAATATTTTAAATTTTAACACGTGACGTCACAAAACTATTGACCCCCATGCCCCTTGTCACACTATGTCACGTTTCGGTGATACGCCCCCCCCCCCCAACAACGTGTGACGTAATTTATGGATGACCTCTAATGGGAGAAATATGTCCACGGACTTTCAGGATGTATGTTATAATAGAAAATAAACTTAACTTATCCAAGCTAAGTTTTTTCTTAAGTACCGGAAAAGGATTCAAGAACACAGTGCCTCCAGACTCCGAATATGAAATAGCTTTAATATACGTTAGATGTTTCGATCGGGAATCGAACTCTAGTGGTGTGATAAGCTTACTGACCACTAAAAAGATGTATTATTGAAAGGAAGATAGGCAGAAGAAGCAGCAATGTAATGTGTACATAACCATTAGCTTGCGTTTAGTTTCTAAGAGACTCCGTAACATGTTCATAAAATATTGAATGTCGATTTTTAAATGGTACATTATTTTCTGCTATCTTATTAAAGAACTAGCCGTACTCGCCCGCTTTGCTGGGCATTTAAAATTAACATTATTATTTATTGTTATTATTATTAGGGAGTCCAACACTTATATAAATATTATCTATCTACCTATCCTACTTATTCCTACCTGTCCATTAAGTGCATGTATTTTCTACAATCCATACCAAGTTTCAAGTCGGATGCATGGTTCAGTAGTTATAACGGAACATCCGTAAAAACCACTGTAGATTAAATTTATAGTATAGATTTAATTTTCGAATTAGGTCATCATGGTTGAATTTGTAATGAAAAAACATAAAACATTTCCTTTTCAATCAATCACTCATTTTCCTCAATGGCTTGGCCACAAAAATTACAATAACAATTAATTACTCATTTAGCGTACAGAGAAAAACATTAACAATTTTTGTTTATTTAGGTAGGTATATATCTACGATGTTCATGCAGTCTTTTCGTTTCCACATTCCAACCCCATTTCATCAGACTAACTCGGCCGATAGTGAGATATGCGTAGTAATTTGTACAAAATGGGCGTATCTATCAAAGATATATTTGATCTAATATAGGTATATCAACCGAGAACTATTTGTGTATTCTGGTTTCATTAATTAATGAGCCTTTTTTTAAACGAAATAGGCAAAAGGACATAAATAACAGACCAAATCTAAACTAGTTCAAAGGAATCTTAATTGAATCAATACGATAATGTTGTAAACAAATATTATTATTATATTTTTCTGTTCAAATTTACTTTATTTGTCAACATTGAACTCCCAAGCGGCGGGTGCGATGAATCACTTCGCTCCGATTTACAAAATGGACGCTATTCCCCCCATTTTATAGTCCCGAGTCTAGGTTAATCTATACATAAAATTGGAGTGTCTTTTTGTAATATTGAAATAACCGCTTTTTACTATACACATATGAATATATATACGGTACATACACCAAAATAACATTTTTTACAATTTTTGTCTGTCTGCTGTTTCTTCCGGCTAATCTCTGGAACGGCTGGACCGATTTTGACGAGACTTTCACTGATAGGTAGCTGATGATATAAGGAGTAACTTAGGCTATTTTTTTTAGATTAGCTTTGCCCCGCGGCGTCAATTTCTCGTCTAATTTAATGTTTCCGAAGCGAAGCGAGGGCGGGTCGCTAGTTCATAATATATTTTTGCATGTTACTATAAAAATATACACAACAGAAATCGAAGCTAGTGTCGTCGTCACTAAAAGCGTAATGCTCTAATCGGGTAAGTACTATGCATTATACTCTTAGGCTTCACGCTGAGAGCTAAAAGCGAATCGATGTTACCAATGTTTGCTTTAAAGTCGACTCCCGAATGCATTAGTGGACGCTACACTAATACTATTAAAATGATAATTTACCTAGTACTTAATCTGGGCTATGTGGGTACCAACGTATCTAGTTTCGCGGATGTCGCAAAATCGGTGGTAGAACCTGTTGAGAGTCCGCACTGGTAGGTACCACCATCCCGCCTATTTCTGTCATGAAGCAGTAATGCGTTTCGGTTTGAAGGGTGGGGCAGCCGTTGTAACTATACTGAGACCTTAGAACTTATACCTCAAGGTGGGTGGCGCATTTACGTTGTAGATGTCTATGGACTCCAGCAACAATTTAAGACCAAGTGGGCTGTGAGCTCGTCCACCCATCTAAGCAATAAAAAAATTGTGGCTAAGGGTCAATTCTTTAACGGACCGGACGGAGCCGTTAAATTTTCTGAGTATTATACCAGCGTATAATAATGCAATGGCCCACCGGCATTTACTGGTGGTATTATTACGCCCAACTGTTGGTACCACACGCAAAACAAAAAACAAAGACCACCAAGACCAACTACGACAATCATAATCAAGCATAACCTAAAATGTATCTTATAGTACGTTTTTACTGATGATTATTGCTCACATCTATGATTTTTAGGTTCATAAATCCCATATCACTAGGTCTGTGTATGCATAAATCGGGTCTCTACTTTTCGATTAGATGCCGCCTAATTTTAGTCTGATGATAATGACGTCACAGTTTTTTTTTGCAAAGCTCACGATCTCTTAATGCCATCGAATAAGCCAATTGAACAAAGTTCCATATATTTTACGCTATTCAATGTACGTAATGTAAACCTATACATCTATTGTACAATGTATCGAATTGTTTCAATCGAGATGTATATTTATTTTATCGTTTGAGTTCAGCTGGGCATTCCCCAGCATATCGCTGTTTGAAGTTCCACATCATTACGCTATTTTAATTAAAAAAAATAAATAAAACAATTGATTGATGTCGACTGAGATCATATATAATATAATTAAAAGTTTTGGGGTAAACATAGCTGCAGTGGCTTCACTGATAGAGTTTAAGGGTTTTTAGAAAAATAATACTTAAATAAACTTTATTTGAGGCGCCATCGAAGCCAAATTATGGGAGTGGCAAAGACGAAAACCTATTCGTGTTCACACGATAATAAAACTCTTTACAGACGATTGTCACCGAAAAAAGGATAAAGAGGTCAACAAAACGAATTCATACAACAGTTGGTGCAGATAGTTTTAACGAGAAACGTGTTGTTTTTACGTTATTTTGATGTTTAAGTGTGAATGTGTGCGTGCGCGTGAAGAACATTTCTATCTAACAAAAATAAAATCATTACGCATCGCTCGCAAATCACGCGGCACGCGTGTGTGCCCAAACACATGTCGCCGACAGGGCTGGCTCATTATTCGTGTTCTGTCTGTCTCATTTTAATTCACTCAATATAAATAATTCTCACAACTACAGGACAAACCGTTAGTTACGTTCTGTTTGCTTAGTGCGAGTTTCTTAAGGTTCTCGATAGCGTAAAAGTTAGGCCAATTTTGTATGCAGTTGGAACAGCGCCCCTAGCGGCAAACGTACGCAAACGATCCTATTACATACAAATTTAATATGAGCTAACTTTTACGTTATCGAGAACGTTAAAAAACTCGCACTAAGCACACAGAATGTTTTTATCTGTTGATACTGTTTACCATTTTACATGCTGTCCTTTGATAAAGGCGATTCTAGACTAAACAATATTTTGTATCGTTTCAATAACAATCAAAACAGGATCTTAGTTAGACGATATTACAGATTAATTTGTCAACTACAGAGTAGCCCTTTTAAAATAACGTTCATTTACAATATCTAAGCGTAACAATATTTACATAACTCATTCATCACGACAAACACATGAACCATCTGAATCATTCGAAGAGTTTCAATGTATTTAATGTAGTATTTCTCGAACACAGAGCGAATCTTGGCCCCGCTGATTATATATAGAAAATTCTGAGAAATTTTTAATTAAGAAGAAATGTTTTTAAAACATCCCACGGCCCGTAGAGGTAAACAAACTTATAATGTTATATTACTCACAAGATAAACTTATTTACATTATACTTTTTTTATCTTGTCTTTTATATGTGTTTGACCTATAAATGGATATATTAAATATTATCAACGTCTGAATCACCAGGGTTTTATCTATTTTTATATATTTAAAGCGTACAATTATCATACGATTTGGTATTGCCCGCGAAAAAATACACGAACGTGTGTGATATGCATCAGTCAGTATTAAGGTTGACGTTTCGAATTGGAGTAATCACGCAGAGGAAACATGGAATTACACCGGTCGACGCTTAATTAAAATTATAATCTGTCATATCCGTTCTTCGTATGAATGGCATTTAACTGAGATATACCGCTTCGTGTAGAGAAAACTGAGTTGGAATTTAAGGGACAAGTGAGTCGTCTATTATCAAAGATGGCAATCTGTGCATTTGGACAAAATTTTTTTATTGATATGTCAATACAGATTGATTTGAATATAATCGTCTCCTTCAAAGAATACGGTTCAAAACCTGCATTAAATAAAGGTCAATACTTAACCTGTTATTTATCTAAGATGTCGTTCAGAAGAGTTTTGTTACCGCCAATGGAATACAAAGTCAATAATTCGTTTTTCTGATTTACCAATAATTGTCCAAAAGTCACATTGCCGGCTTTGATAATAGTCGACTCAAGTTACACCGTAGACTTCTTCATATTACTAGTGGTCCCCCGGTAGTCGAAATTCGATAATAATTAATTGAAATTATAAGTTTGTAGAATATTACAG